TCATCCCTATTTGCACCATGACACCACTTAGGGCTGCATCGTGTTTCCAGTGGCCTAAGAATTCTCATTTCCGCATTTCATACTATTAATTATGTGCTTTCAGGAATCATCACTAAAGTAACTTTCCTTTCTTGTTTTAATCGTTTTGTAAGTATTTTACCGGGCCACACATTTATGCACACACGGATGCACCTAGCCATGCTAACATACATACTCGCACATAATACTATAGCCCCTCAGATACAACATTGTTGATTTGCAGAAACATGAATCTCAACTCCATACATTGATAGACTACGAGTTTTTTGTATTTTATTTGGGAAACGCTATTGTGACCATTGGCAGAGTCACTAAATATGTTTAATGATCTTATCTTCTATATAGACGTTCATTTTCATTTGATCTTTATATTCTCCTTTCAGGATTCTAATTTCTCTTATCTTGATTTCTGCTATCATTTCTTTAGTTACTGCGAAACCTGAAAGTGCTATACAGATCTAATCTTGACGGGCAATATTGTTTTGATTTATTAGTCTATTCTATTCTCTTCATCATTCTTCTACCATTTTATTCAACCTATTTGTAAAATGTCTCTCTTCTGCATTCCGCGGCCTTCAGAGAGGGCTTTACACGCATGTATTTTCTACGTTGCAGTTCAAACCGCTTTATATTTACTCATTATTATTCATTTTTATGTTTCTTCTGTGGCTCTGGCATCGTTTTAGACATGGTACGTGATATGGAGTAGTTGTGGAACGATACAAAATTCCTCTGTTGTTTTTAGATTTTCCAACGAACTCTTGTCAATCGATACTTTCTTCAAATCTCTTGTTATATACATAAATGTAATGCTTTATAATAAACATCTTATCGGCCATTTGTGTGTAGGTGATAAAAGATACACCGATATCTTAGAATACTTTAAATAATATTTGGACAGAGTAGTGACTGCATCTTGGCACAAAACTCAAGCGAGCTCGAAGCTGCAGTCCTCTCTGAATAAGAAAACCTTTGTGAATGAAGGCTGCGTGAATATAGCTGGCATGGCTGAGAATTAGTATTCATTTCATGTAGGAAAACTAACCATCAATTTTTGAGTACTTCCAAAGGCTAATCATTTGGCATAAAAACACAATTGATGTGTGCAGATTCAGAGCTATTTGTTGGGAATCCAACATATATTTAAATATGGCAAATCATGAATATTC